TTAAAATCACGTTTTTCCAAGGCTGATTCATGTCAATGTATGGCAAAAACCACTACAATATTGTAAAGTAATTAGCCTCCAACTAATAAAAATAAATGGAAAAAAAATAAATAAAATTTGAAAAGATCTTAAAAAAATTTTTTTTAAGTGAAAAAAAAAAAATCACAAGTTTTAAAAACCAGTCTGGTTGCAGCTCAAGGTGGGGAAAGGAGCAGACCGAAAAAGTGGGCAGGCAGCCCAGACCACTTCCCCATCTCTCTGAACCAGGCTGGCTCCAGGTTTCCCACTCCAAAACCTTCCCCAGTCCAAGTGCCATAGACGCTGAGCCTGGGTCCAAGGCTCCCCACATAGGGATCACACTGAGCCCTGGCCTTTGGCGCTGCATTGTTGCCGAGGTGGGGGGAGAGGGGGGAGGGGGCGTGGCCCTGGGCCACCAGCTGCTGCTCAGACCGGCTCACAGCCTCCCAGGAATTTCTTCTTGGCCCATGGAGCTGCCTGGGCAGGCCCACATGCGGGAATCACCCTGCTTTTTAAAAAAAAGGTGAGAGAGCAAGAAAGCAGAACAATTAAAATCTTAGTGTATGAATAATTACATTTTAAAAATCCCCACATTTTTTTTACATCAAAAAGAATTCTGTAATCAGAGGTTTAATTTGCAGATTTAGTGGCATTTGGCAGGTTAAAAGTAGGTGCTGTGAAGTGAGTAAGCGTGGGATTTGGGGCTGGAAGCAAAGAATGAGAAAATCTGCTGGGCCAGAAATCCTGGCTTTGAGCTGCCTCGGAGATTTGCGGCCTGACTTCCTCTGCCCATAGCCATCCTGGGCTACATCCTCTTCGGAGAGGAAGGTAGAGAATGGAGGAGAGGAATGAAGCCCTCCAGGCCCCCTCCTTATTCTAAAGAGCCTCATTGTATGTTTATTTTTTTAAAATAATTATTTGTTCATTGCAAAAAGAAAAAACCTCTGGACTTCCCTGGTGGTCCAGTGGTTAAGAATCCACTTGCCAATGCCAGGGACACAGGCTCGATCCCTGGTCTGGGAAGATTCCACATGCTGCAGAGTGACTAAGCCTGTGTGCCACAACTATTGAGCCCGCATGCTGCCACCGCCGAAGCCCAGGCACCCTAGAGTCCATGCTCCGCAACAAGAGAAGCCGTTGCAACGAGAAGCCTGTGAGCTGCAACTAGAGAACACCTGTGTGCATCAATGAAGAACCAGACAACCAAAAACAAATAAAATTTTAAAATTTGGAAAGTATAGAAAAAAAAAAAAAGCAAAGATCACCTATAGTTTCACTGTCTGAAGGTAACAAAAGTACATTCTCCTCTTCTCTAAGATAGTGTGGAAAGACCAGAGAATCCCTGGTGTTCATGGGATCGCAGAGTCGGACATGACTTAGCAGCTGAACAACAACAATGTGGAAAAAATCCTTTAGCCAACTGGACTGGGCTTCACAAGGTGCATATCTATTATCCTCACCCCTCTCTATTTGTTCTTTCTCTCTTCTTTTCTGGAAGTCTCCCTTTTTTTTTCTTCCCAGTGAAAACCCAAACAAAACAGGAGGCTTGGCATATGAAAGTCAGGTAGGGAGACTTGGGTTCAAGAACCTTTCCAACAGAGGTGCTAGAGGAGCAGCCTAAAGGAAGGGGCTCCAAGCTGGTGATCCTGGTTAGCGGAGGGGTGTAGTGGGTGGGCAACAGAAGGGTTATTCTAGGGTGGCCTTTTCAGAGGAAGGGAAGGGAAAGATGCAGGCGAGGGTGGTGTTTATCCTCTGTATCAACTAGTCATTGGTTATAGGCTAGCCCCAGGAAGAGGGAAATTGGTGAGGTGATGCCCTTCCACTGAGATGATTTCTGCTTAAGCTTAGGGTTCAGGGCTGTCTGTAGTAGAGCTCCCAACAGCTGGGGTGTAGACTGTGTGCCCTTCAGTCCTGCAGGGTGTGTGTATGAGAGAAATAGTGACAGACAGACAGCCAGGGTGACAGACTGTATTGCTGGAGCTCACCAAGGCCAAAGTCTAAAAGCAGTACAAGGCAGAGAGCAAATGTACAGGCACCAAGGAGGAAAAGGGGCATGGGATGAGTTGGGAGACCGAGAATGAAGTGTAGGTACTAATGATACTGTGTATAAAACAGATAACTAATGAGAACCTACCGGAGAGCACAGGGATCCCTACTCAGTGCTTTGCTGTGGCCTAAATGAGAAGGAACTCCCCCACAGAGGGGATAATGTATACCTATAGCGATTTGCTTTGCTGTGAGCAGAAACTAACACGAGATTGTGAAGCAACTATGTGCTGTGCTGTGCTTAGTCTCTTGGTCATGTCCGATTCTTTGCGACCCCATGGACTGTAGCCCTCCAGGCTCCTCTGTCCATGGGGATTCTCCAGGCAAGAATACTGGAGGGGGTAGCCTATCCCTTCTCCAGGAGGACTTCTCAACACAGGAATCCAGCCAGGGTCTCATGCATTGCAGGCGGATTCTTTACCATCTGAGCTACCTGGGAAGCCCTAAAGCAACTATACTCCAATAAAATTAAAAAAAAAAATACATAAAAAGTTCCAAGCAGTACAAGACAGTTACCCCCCGGAGAAACCTTACCAGTGGCCTCTGTGAAGACAAACGTGGGAAGGAGACCCTAGCTGGGTTGTCCTGAAGCTCATTGGAGAGGAGGAAAGCCACTTTAGGGTACACCATCTGTGGTGGAACTGCCACCAGGATGCAGGTTTTTGTGAAGACCCTGACAGGGATGAGCATCTCTCTCAAGGTCAAGCTCTTGGATATGATAGAAAATGTAAAGGCCAAGATCCAGGATAAGGAAGGAGTTCCTCCTGACCAGCAAAGACTGATCATTGCTGGAAAGAAACTGGAAGATAGATGTCCTTTGTCTAACTACAACATTCAGAAGGAGTCCACTCTTCACCTTGTGTTGAGACGTCATGGGGGAGCTAAGAGAAGGAAGAAGTCTCATGCCACTCCCAAGAAGAACAAGCATAAGAGAAAAAAGGTTAAGCTGGCTGTCCTGAAATACTATAAGGTGGAAGAGAATGGCAGAATCAGTCGCCTTCATGGGGAGTGTCCTTCAGATGAATAATGTGCTGAAGTTTTTATGACCAGTCACTTTAACAGACAATATTATGGCAAATGTCTGACCTAATGTTTCAATAAACCAGAAGACAAGTAATTGTATACAGGTTAATAAAAGACATGAATTAATAAACTAACAAAACAAGACAGAGAGGAGCAAAGCCAGGGGCAATCTGGCAGCTTGGCAGAATAGGACAGGCAGTTTTAGGAGACATGAAGGCAAAATCCAGAGCGCTAACAAAACAAGACCTTCCCGAGGAAGCCAGTGTTGCCAGCCCCACAGCCTGGAGTTCCTTCGTAGTCCAGTGGTTAAGAATTCACCTGCCAGTGCAGGGGACATGAGTTCAATCCCTGGTCTGGGAAGATTCCATACGCAGTGGGGCAACAAAGCGTGGGTGCCGAATCTGCCGAAGCCCACGTGCCCTAGAGCCCATGCTCCACAACAAGAGAAGCCACTGCAATGAGAAACCCTCGCTCCAGAGCTAGAGAGTATCCCCTGCTCTCCATAGCTCAAGAAAGCCTGCACACAGCAATGAAGACCCAGCACAGTCAAAAATAAATAAATAAAAAATAAATTAATTTTTAAAAACCACTTTAAAAAAGTCGGTTGTTGAATACAAAACACTAGTGGAGGCTGTGTTAGATGTCATATGTGTACAATTAGGTAGTTTCCTGTCATCCTTCAATAAATTTCATCATTTTTGAAAAACATATTATCACATGCTATCAATGGCACCTATGTAAATGCGTCCAGTATTTTTTTAGTAGATATATTGGAGAAAAAACAGAAAAGATTCAGGGAACTGCTTTATTGATACAGTTATTAAGGGTCCAGTGATTTGAGCCATGGTGAGGCTAACTCTCCCAAGCAAAGATAACTTGTTCCATCTCGAAGTCCTACTACTGAGAAGAAACGTAATGCCTGGCAGACTGGGTTTTAGAAGTTACATGTGGCAGACTTCTTTGGATTTTGGAGGCTACATATTCTATACTTGGGAATCCTGCTAAGATCCATTTATCAGGAGATACAGAAAACTGATAGTTTCGAGTGGTGTGGTACATGCATGCTAAGTCTGACTCTATGCGACCCTATGAACTGTAGCCTGCTAGTCTCCTCTGTGGGATTCTCCAGGCAGGAATATTGGAATGGGTTGTCATGCCCTCCTCCAGGGGATCTTCCTGGCCCAGGAATGGAACCCATGTCTCTTATGTCTCCTACATCAGCAGGCGAGTTCTTTACCAACAGCGCCATGTGGGAAGCCCTAGTTTTGAGTGGGGCCCAGAGCAAAAGCAATTCTCCAGCAGCTCCAGATTATAGCACAGGCAGCCTTGCTCCCCGGTTTGTACAACTTGGGAGATCACACAGCGTCAGACTTTTCTGTGGTAGAGAAAGATGCCAGGTCGATCTTCTGTACATCCTGGTAAGAGCGACAACACAATATGAGGGCTCAGGAAACAGGTAGAGGCATTTACAGCAGAGAACTATGTACCTTTATTGCAAAAATAACTCCTGATGTATACCTGGGTTCTTGTAGAAATATAGCTTCTGACCGTGGGAAGTCAAGTGGCCATGTGGTCAGGAGCTGGATACTGAGAGAACCAACAAGTTATAGGCTTGGGAAGGAGGCAGCAGAAATCTATCCCATAATGAAAGTGCTACATTGGGGATTAGGCTTTAGAGGAGACAAGTGGATGGCCTGGACATCCACGCCATTTCCTGCTACTGCTCTAAACCACCCCCTTAGTTCATATCTGTGATCTTATGTAAGGAGGAAGTGTTCCTTATGACCAGCTGACAGGCAAAGCAGAAAAAGAGCCCAGTGTGGATCATAGACGGGTCAACTGAATGATAGCTACCAGCCCAAAGTGGACTGCAGATACACCACAGCCTCTCTCAGTGGTGGCCTTGAACGTTAATGGTAAGAAGACCTACCCATGGACACTTGATCATCTTCTGTGAGACAGAGAAGTTGCCTGAGGAAAGTGTCAACATAGACTCCTGGTGTTTGTGCTGTTTCCTCAGTCATGTCCAACTCTTTGTGGCCCCACAGACTGTATTCTGCCAAGCTCTTCTGCCCATGAAATTTTCCAGGCAAAAATCACTGAAGCCATTTCCTTTTCCAGGAGATCTTCTCAACCCAGGGATTGAATACATGTCTCTTGTGTCTCTAGCATTGGCAGGAAGATTCTTTACCACTAACACCACCTGGGAAGCCCTGATAGACTCCCGGGCTGTGGTCAATGGCTTGGATGGTTTGTCAAGGGCCTGGAAAAGCAAAATCGGAAGCTGAAAGAGAAGTAAGTTTGGAGAGGAGCCCTGTGGATAGAACTTTGGGGGTGGTCGCTAAGTATGAGAATCTGTATTGACCCATTTAATGCCCATCAGAAAACATTCTCTGCAGGAGAAGAGATAAACAACTGAGTGATTAGGACTTCAGTCAAAGCTGTCAGCCCACTTTTGTCCTCATCCTCCCCGGTGTTTGCACACTGGCTCATGAGCAGAGTAACCTGGTGGCAGAGAGGAGATCATGCATGGACCCAGCAGCATGGACTTCAGCACACCAAAGAGTTCCCTCCTCTCTGTAAATAGCTTTGTGATCTACATCCAATCCAGCCTCTGGATCCGAATACTAGTTTACAGGGAATACAGAAGAGGGAGGAGAGAAAAACACTTTAAATCACACCAGAAGGATGCAATCAACAAAATCCAAACTGATGGGAACACATAGGAAAAATGCCTGAATTTCTTCAACAAGTAAACTGCAAGATTAGAAACAGCATGGGGGCTTCCTCGATGGCTCAGTGGTAAAGAATCCACCTGCCGATGCAGGAGACTCAGGTTTGATCCTTGGGTTGAGATGATCACCTGGAGGAGGAAATGGCAACTCACTTCAGTAATCTTCCCTGGGAAATCCTATGGACAGAGGAGCCTTGTGGGCTACAGTCCAGAGTTGGACACGCCTGAGGGACTAAGTGTCCGAGAGAGCATAGATTAAAAGATTATTTAAAACCTTAACAAATTGTAAAGTCAGGTTGTTACTTGGATTATGATTTTTAAAAATGGTAATAATTCTGACATTTAGCAAATAATTAGAAATGTGAAAACGTAACAGATATTTTTTGATACTAAAGAATTATATTTAACATTTAAAATATGATAATGGTATGGTGGTTATGTTTTAAAGAGTGAGAGAAGAATCCTAACCTTTTAATGAAATACACAGAAATATTTATGGATGAAATGTTATGATGACTGGAGTTTGTTTCAGATCAAACCAGAATGAGGACAGGGATGAGGTATAGATAAGGTTGAACCAAATGGTTTGATGTTTATTGGAGTTGGACAATGGATACTTGGGGGTTCATTATACCCTTCTGTTCACTTTTGGGGTTCTCCTTTTTTGTTTGTTGTCTTTAGTCATGCCTTGTGGCATGTGGCATCTTAGTTCCCTGACTAGGGATCGAATACAATGTCCCTGCAGTGGAAACACAGTGTCTTAACCACTGGATTGCCAAGGAGGTCCCTTACTTTTTGCACGTTAGAAATTCTCCACTTAAAAATTAGTTGTGTGATCAAGATGTGTTTCCTTACCTATAAAATAAAGATACAAGAGACATCCTCCAGCCTTCATCAAGAAACACTGGGTGAGTAGTAAGATAATAGATATGGGTTGGGGGGGTGGAATTTGAAAAGTTAGAATAACTAAGCAAATTAAAAAATAATATTGAGAAGGAGCAAGTTATGGTCCTTGCTCCCCCCCACACCCCCGTGACCTCTGCCTGCTTTTTGTCTGTGGAAAACTTTAGTCAAAGAATAAGTTTAACAGAGAAGTAAGAAATGTGGAAACAAAAGAAAACCATCAAAGTAGACTAAATAATAATGTAGTTATTAAGCACAATCAAGGACCTTTAGCTCTTTCTCAAGGGCTATAGATAATATTCTGAGCCACATCCTGTGAGCTGTCTTATAGACACTAAAACACCAGGTGGAGAAATTAACTACATGATGACCAGACTGTACCCGGGACATGAGCTGCCACAATTCCGAGACCTGACTGGCAAGAAATGGGAACAAATGGACCCTGGAATTGAAGATTAACTGTTCCTAAAACAACCAAGGTGATGCTGGTCAGACCACTGATGACCAATTTGAAGATGACAGTGCTGTTTCTACATGTAAATGCTTCCCCCCAACACACACACACACTCTGTCTATGAAAGCTCTCACTGCCTGCTTGTTGGGACGGGTGGAGTCGGGGTTGGTCTTTGGTCAGACATCCACCACCCCACCCCAGCTGCAGGTGTTGGAAAGAAAGCAAACTTTCCTTTCTACCAACCTGGCCTATTTATTGGCTCTTGAGTGATGAGCAGCTGGACCCCACCCCCACCGTCCCCCACCAACTCTTCTGGTAACAATATGGTAGATGAAACTCTAAGAGGGGCTTGACTTGAGCCACTGTGTGCAGATGGAAGAACTGCCCCTAATCCCAGGACTAGAAGGATGCTCTGGGATTTTTCAGGCTGGGCTCCAGGACTCTCTAGGGGTCCTCAGAGTCCCTGTAGGGGCCTCAGTGGGAGGCCTGTTGGGAGGAGGCTCCTGGCTCTTACTCCTGCTGTCTCTAAAGCATTTCGGCTTTGATCTGTTTGTTATAATCAGCTCAGGACCAGATTAAGACTTTAAAGGCCCCAAATACTGAGAAACTACTATGCCTCCATGCCGACATAGAACTTGTTTTTAGCCCCTGACATTAAAGTAGCCTGTTTCTCCTTCTGCTGATGGAAACATTTTCACTGTGTTTATTTGAGTGGAACTTTTCTCTCTCCCTTTTGCTACTTTACTGCTGCTCTGAGCCTATGCTTAGTATGCCTTTTGGGTAATTATAGCATTGCCTGGGGTTTCACAGTACATTTCATTTAAAAGGGAAGTTTCACTGCTAAAACTTTTGATCAAATCTAATATCCATTTAAATCCTCTCTCCAACAGCTCACCAAGTATTCCTCCAACTTTGGCTTTAACACCTCCCATCCTGAAGATTTACTATCCACTAAATGACCCTGGCACATCTTCAGATTATTATTAGAAAGTCTCGTGTTGAGGCCAAACATGTCATCTTGAAGCTTCCACCATTGGTTGGTCCTCTGCCCCCAGGGCCACACTGAGCAAATTTAATCCTTTTTGCACCCGTCTTAGCCAGGTGCTCAGGCAGAGTTCTTGGAGCCAATTTGTCTCCCTCTGTCTCTCCAATCCTGACTCCTCAAATAGTCTCCCCAGACAGTAATAGTAATGATGATGACAGTAACAATAATAGCCACAATTAGCTGAACTCACCAAAGTCACACAGCTGGAGGATTTTCTTTTATTTCTGCTTTATTTATTATTTTAATTTTTTTAGACTTTTTATTTTATGTTGAAGTGTAGCCTAGTAGGGGCTTCCCTGGTGGCTCAGATGGTAAAGAATCTGCCCGCAATTCGGGAGGCCTGGGTTCTGTCCCTGGATCGGGAAGATTCTCTGGAGAAGGGAATGGTTACAGACTCCAGAGTTCTTGCCTGGAGAATTCCATGGACAGAAGAGCCTGGTGGGCTACAGTCCACGGAGTTGCAAAGAGTGGAACATGACTGAGTGACTAACTCCTTCGCTATAGCCAATTAACAATGTTGTGATAGTTTCAGGTGAACATTAAAGGGACTCCGCCATACACAGACATGTATCCACTTTCCCCTAAACCCCCCTCCCATTCAAGCTGCCACCTAACACTGAACAGAGTTCCCTGTGCTATATAGTAGGTCCTTGTTGATTATCCATCTTAAACATAGCAGTGTGTATGTGTTGATCCCATACTCCATAACTATCCCTTCCACCCTGGTAACCAGAAATTTGTTTTCTAAGTCTGTGAGTCTGTTTCTATTTTGCAAGTAAATTCATTTGTATAATTTCTTTCACTGCTGGACTGGAGGATTTTATTTTATTTATGTTTCTTTTCTTTTTACACATTTATTTGTTATTTATTGGACTGCAGGATTTTAGAACCAAATGCTAGTTTGTTTGATTCTGGGGTCTATGTTTCTGGCCTCTATATTATGCTTTTAACCTCCCATCTAATATGAAATAAGCTCAAAGTTTTATCTCTTCAGAACATTCAGAAACAATTGGTGTAAGAAAAAACTTTCAAGTGTCCTTCAGCTTTTGACAGTGAGATGTTGTCTAGAGTCTAAAATGTGGAATCAAGAAGTCTTCACTTGTCATTCAAAGGCCATGCTCCTGGGTTGAATGGCTGTGATGGATCTGTTCCTCTCCTCACTTATGGAGGCCTCTCTTAGGTGTGGAGGCAGGGCTGTCACTTATGATGGCCTTTTGGCGGCCGGATTGGATCTGTCATCGGCCCTCTGGATCATCGCTGATATCTTTGGTGATGTCCTGTCCACCGGGGGGACATGTGCCCTGTAGGAAGTTCATCGCTGAGTATGCGATGGTGTCATTGGCACCTCATTAAAGCCAAGGAAGGTGGGGGCTTCTAGTTGGCTTGCTTGGGTCCCATGCCAGTGCTCTGGCTTATAAGGAAAGCTGGGTAAGCAATTTCATGAGTTTCTGCTTCCTTGTTGTGAGGTGGGCTTCTCTCATCAAAATTTATAAGGATGAGAACTCTTCCAATGTAGGAAGAGAGAACAGATACGATGAACTGAAAATGCCCATACCTCCATAGGTATGCTATTCCCCAGGTCTTTTTGTTTAATGAATCAACATATATTTATCAAGTTCAAGATCCCTGTAAGGCACAGCAAATGCGAAGGTGACTGTCACATTTAGTTGAAACCTCAGATCTCCAAAGAGCTTGAGACCTTTCAGTTCCTGTATGTCTTAACTGGGTTCTTCATTTACATGACCAGAGGTCAGACTGGGAGGTGAGGGGCCTTGCCTGGCAGTCCAGTGGTTAAAACTGTACTTCCACTGTAAGGGTGTGGGTTTGATCTCTGGTCGGGGAACCAGGACTCTGCATGACAAGGAACATGGCCAACAGGGGATTTAAAAAAAATTGGGGTGGTGGTGAAGAAAGATTGATGTGACTTGTCATGTCTTCTCAGATTTAGAATGCCCAGCTAAAATGCCCAAACTCTTACCCTATAGCCAGGGCTTACACAGGGCTGTCAAGATGATCGTTCTAAAACACAGGTAAAGTTGTGTTTTCACACAATTTTGAATTTCATCTCCACAGCTTGGAAATCCTTGATTAATCTCCCTTACTCAGAGACTTCCCTGGTGGTCCGGTGGTTAAGAATCTGCCTTCCAATGCA